AAATTGGGTCATTGTTTGTTTTCTGGGTGTGGTATTTTTAGTTTTTACACCTTAACCTCCACATTTCAGCAACAAACGTAAATCAAGAAGTCAAGAAACAGGAATAAAATAAGGAGCTTGTTCTCTATTTGAAACTTCTGTTTATCCGTTGTTAAAAAAATCAACTTTTTGACAGAGTGTCCATTTATGTAATCTGGAGTAATTTAATATATCTGAGAAAGTTAACAGATTTCAAAATAAAAAACAACGCAACCTGTAATTTTATATGACAAAAACCTCTTTAGCTCATCTTGTATCTGTATTAAATAGAAAGCGTTTCATATTAATTCGGACTATATTAGACTATTAGACGAGCTTCTTATCTAATATTTTGTAATCTAAAAACTTTATGAATTACGAAACTGCACTATGATGATCAAGAATGTGCAAGTTGTTCCTAAAACACTCAAAATAGTTGATCTTTCTATATTGAAAAAACTCGCAGCCGAAAATTTTGGCAAATGTTGAGAGACAAAATTACTAAACTCGTAAAGTTCTTGTTTTTCTTCCATTGTGACTTGCTGATAATACCATCTTATTTCATAAGTCAGAACAAGAATTTTCTCTGCTTCTTTAACAACACAGTCACACAAAATTATTAAAGCTACCAAACAAACCTAAAAATACAAAACTTACATTTCTGGTTATTTTAAATCAAACACTAACAAAGTTCATCACAACCCTGAAGAGATTTAAAAAGGCCAAATGGACAAACATGATCTTGGATTTTTCGTACATGATGGTATCAATATTATCGAGAATATCCAAAGTTGTAAAAAAGATCAGAAATGTAAGAGACCAACCAAACATATTATTATAAAATTTCACAGTTTGATTTAAAATTCGAATCAAATTTTCTGTTCTTCTAATCAAAAATAAAAGATTTTGATTCCGACTTATGTTTTCCAAAATCATATGGTTTATTTCCTTGTATCTAATAAAAATCAAATCAGTTATCAGATAAAGTAATAACTGATAAAACAAGTGAATATATTTTTGGATATACTCAATCGGGTATCTGCACAAAAAATCAAATATTGTGTTGTCGGATCGAACGCATATACTGTATATTAAAATAAACATATAAATCAAATGCACTCCGAGAAACCCGTAGAAATAATAACGATATCTGGTGTTTTTTCTGATTTTCGCACAGGTTTCAAGATTTTTCAATAATAGTTTCCATATTCTTCGATTGTAAAATGTAGATACCACAATTATGTAATAATCGAAGAAAAATAACGACGTTTTTTTAAAAAATATAAGAACAGTTTTTATGTGTGTGTAATTCCGGTAGAAATCTTTACTATATATGGAAGCCATCACTCCAAATAAAATTACAAGGAAAAAAGTAATAGCGTAGATCTTTTGAATGTATGTTTGCTTTTTTATTTTTAGAGAACTTGGAGTCAAAGCGAAAAATTTGCCAATTTTAAACATCATTTTTAACAAATTAAAATCCATTTCTAGATATCAAACACCTCAATGACTCAATACAAATGAAAAAAACAACTATTTTTTAGTATGGGAAATTATCCGTAAATGCATCTACAGTAAAAACAATTTAAAGCTTTTATTCATTCTACATTTTACTTTTACAGAACTACGGACTTGTTTTATGCTTTTAAAATATTTTGTTATCTATAGAAAAACTATATGTAATTTTTACACAATCGTTACAACAATTACAATTGTAATATTAAAAGCATTAAAAATATTATATTGAGTGCGAAAAATGATATCAGAGCTAGTGTCAGAGCATACTAAAAGCGATTGTATACACATAACAATTACAATTCACTTTACAATTTTTTTATTTCTGTTTTTGATGTACCTACCTACCTACACACATCCTTTTTCAGTGCCGTTAGTATGATACGAATTAAAAAAAACACCAGCAATTTAACTTTGTAGATCCATATTAATCAAATAAATATAAAAAGTTGAATTTTAGCAATAATTGATAAAAAAACACCAGTAATTTAACTTTGTAGATCCATATTAATCAAATAAATATAAAAAGTTGAATTTTAACAATAATTGATGGTAAGAATTACTTATAAACTTGTAATTAACTAATATAATATTTTGTAGTTGTAAGTTGTAAATATATAGGGTGAGTCTTAACTTATATGCATAAACTTAACAGGAGTGATAGTTCTTGCCTAATAATAACGAATAGTGAAAAAAATTCTATTATAGTTATTTTTGTTCCAAGTACCTAAAACACAGTTTTTGCGGATAAATCGTTGCTATTTCCAGAGGAGGTGAAACCGATCCTTATTAATTAAAAAATTTTTCGTAAAGTACCTACTGTTTTAATTTTTTTGGAAATTTATTTTATCTTGCATTTTCCTCGTTATTGATCATAACTTATTTTCGTTGTCACTATCAAATGTCAAATGAAGGAAATCGATGTCTACCAGTATACAAAGCTTGGTCAAAATAATGATAATCTTGGTATTATTTAAAATTTGAATGTTTAATAGTGTTTTTATAACGCAATACTACAGTAACTAAAAAACTATAACTATATTTTTTTTATAGTTTGTTATTATAGGGCAAGTACTTTAAGTTAAGTCTCACCCTGTATATTTAAAATTTATTCCGCGATATGTTCAACTTTTTTCATATCCTTTTAAATTTCAAGGTACACATACTAATTCTACGAACACTACAAGCAATTGTACAAACAGTAAAAGCAATTTTAGACTACAAAAAGATATCAAAAGAAAGACTCAAAAATGTAAATTTTGATGAATTTAAAGAAAGTAATCACAAACTTGTGTATAATAGTCTCTAAACAAAGAAAGAAACATCCTATAGCCAAAGTTTTTTTTATCAAAATGGTTTTTTTGGTAGGGCAAATGATAATTATTTCAACTGTTAATTTAAGTAACATTTAGTTGGGTGTTAACACTTATTGCCAAAGCGACCAAAGTCGAAATCACGGAAGACTTTCTTTATGAGCATCAAAAAATTGGGCCACCAAAAAACTAAGTGATACTGATAATCTTCAAATATTTTGGAATGAGGAATTGAAACGAAAAAACCCCTCTCTTGCACGTGAAATGTTTTGGGTTATAGTTTTTTATATATGGTTGTATTTACTTTCCAACAGATCTTGCTATGCGGCAAGTAAATAGTCAAATTTTAAGTAGAACTAAACGAGATTTTTTTAGTATGTATGTTTCAACTTTTTCATTTGCGAAATCTCCTAAACTACTACAAGCCAGATCAAAAAGAAAGCAGGAATAATGCACTTTTTTCAGCTTTGTGATTCTCCTTCTTTCATTTCTTCGCTTCTTAATCTTCCATCCATGTTTTGTTGAAATAAAAATTTTTGGGGAAGAACTCAAAAGTTGCTTGTTCTTCCCTGATTTATAAAAAGTGTCTCCAGTTGAAGAAAAATAGTGTGCAAAGAGTTACAACAGGAGAATTAATTAATCCTTTAAGAAACGATGTAAGTAGGTTTGACTCTGCGATTTATCTACACTTTGTATGGATTGTACCCATTAAAGTTTTCATTGTGGTTTATTATTATTACACAGATGTTACTATTGGTCACATTGCTGCAAGTGGATTTTTTAATTTTTTTTGTAAATTGAAACTGCAAGACGGTAAGTGAAGAGTTTACAAAATATCGATATAATTTTTGATGTAGTTTAGAGCTTAAAGAAATACCTAAATCAAGGGTCGTCATTATTTTGAAAGATTCGTTATTGTACGAATTATTATTTTGGTCGGGCTTTTATTAGCCATCTCATTAAGTCTGCCTATAACAACCCAATATGTTTTCGCAATTGCTAATACTTGTGAAAATTATAAAAACATTTTAACCCTTTTTGCACCAATTGAAATTTCACAATTTGCTGAACTAAGAACTACATTACTTCGTATCCAAAAATTTCTATTAATCGATTATGAAAATACGAAAGAAAAGTATCTTTACTATGACTAAGAACAAAAACCAAATTTAAGTGCGACCAATGTAAGTGTCAAAAGAAATTCCTCAATGATTTTGTTTTAGATGACATTAATTTTAGTGCTACGTCTGGTGAACTTATTGGTATAGTAGGATCTGGAGGCAGTGGTAAATCTGTTACACTACAAACAATAATTCATGAAAAAGAGGTGGTCTATGGAAATATTTCTGTAAACGGACAAATTTCTTATGCTTCACAAAAAGCTTGGATTTTCTCAGCGAGTGTGAGACAAAACATTCTTTTCGGCGAAGAAATCTCAAACTTCAATGTTGGACAGAAACATTTGCTTTGCTTGGTTAGGGCAATGTTGAAAAAAAAAATAAAACTGTTGTTTTAAAGGGAGCTACATATATCGATCTCAAAATAGACATATTGATTCAATCAGCAATTAGAGGCAAGTTTCAAGAATCGACAGTTTTAACAACTACATCAAATCGTTTGAATACTGTGATGGACTCTGATAAGATTTTGGTGATAAATGATGGGACTGTGGTCGCGATCGGAAGCCCAAAGCAGTTGCTAGAAGACGTCAATGGTTTTTTTTACCAACATTTTGTAAAAAGTAATAAAATGATAAATAAATAAAAAAAATATTTTTTCAATATGACTCATGACTTTACAATTTACTGATTACATATATGTATGTATGTATACACAGTGTGTCAATTTTAAAAGTTGCACTTGACAATATCTTTAAAACTGAAAAAGTTATTGAGAATTACTCAAAACCGTTTCGGTGGTCCTTAGGCAGAATCAAAATACCATGGTAAGTGACGCACCTCCACCCACCCTTGAATATAATAAAAAATGAAAGTCTTTGTTTTTGAATAATTGGATAATGGTTTTACCAAATAGGCTCTGTTGTATGACATTTTTGAAAAACGCTTGTTATAAGATTTCCAACAATTTTTCACAAGTAGGGTTGCCATTTAAAATTTTTAACTTGGGGTGTCTGTGGCTTCAAGGGGTGTGTCACTTATCATGTCATTTTGATTCAGCAAAACTGTTTTAAGTGATTCTCAATAACTTTTTCAGTTCTGGAGATAATTCCGATTGCCACTTGTAAAATTGAAACCCTGTATATTATGTATGTATGTAATGAGTATGTTTTAACTTTAAAATTAGAACGTTTAATATTTTTTTAATCTTCATATGTATTTAACATAGTTGCAATAAAACGAGGTTGCATAAAATATGCAGTAATAAAGCAAATAGCTAAATTACAATTTACAAAACATAGGTAGGTATTTTATCATGCGTAACTACATATTACCTCCTTACAATATTTTTTAGAAAACTAATAATTTTTTATGTGAAAGTAATTAATTCTTCCTAATGGAGGATAAGCAAAGGACTAAAACCTTGCCAAAGCATCCCGAAGATACCTCAAATTTTCTATCAAATTGGCTCTTTTGGTAAGACAGAAACTTTTTTTTTTTAAATTAGTTTACTTTCTTCTAAGTTGGGTGTATCCTGTGATTATCAAAGGAAGCAAAATCGAAATCACTGAAGACTTCCTTTATGAAACACCGGAAAACTGTGAAGCCTCAAAACTTGGTAATGAGCTTCAAAAATTTTGGCTTGAAGAACTGAAACTAAAAAAGCCTTCCCTTGCACGTGCCCTTATAAAACAGTTCGGACTTGAATTTGCCATTTACGGGGGTTTCTTCTTTCCAGCCGATTTCATTGGAGTGTAAGCAAATATATATGATAAATTTTCGCTGAAAAGTTTTTCTTCTCAGGTTGTTTCAACCGTATTTCTTGCAAAACTTGCTCAATTATTACACCCCGAACCAAACAACAGTTTCACAAAATAACGCCATTTTCTTCGCTTTGATGATCACCTTATTTTCATTTATACGCTTGTTGGCCTTTCACCGATTTTTTTATTGTGTCAAAGCATTGGCAATAAAAATGAAAGTTGCTTGTTGTTCACTAATTTATAAAAAGTGTTTTCAGTTGAAGAAAACTAGCTTGCAGAAAGTCACCACAGGACAGTTGATTAATCTTATGAGCAACGATGTGAGCACATTTGACAATGCAATCATTTTTTTACATTTTGTTTGGTTTGGACTTGTGGAATTGATAATTGGAACCTATTTCATAAACGTGACTATTGGTCCAGGGGCCACAAGTGGCATTCTTGTTATGTTGATTTGTTTTTTGTTCCAAAGTAAGTACTAATCATAATAAGAGAATAATGGATAATTTTAAGTCTTTGTAGCATATATCGCTAAATATACTGCTTCCAACAGAAAACGTGTAGCTTCGAGTACTGATTATAGAATTCAGTTATTAAACGACCTTATCTGTGGTATACAAATAATCAAAATGTATGCTTGGGAGAAGCCATTTAAAAAATTAGTCGAAATTGCTAGAAAGTAACATTTCATTTTTATGATTTCACATTCATAAAGTCAGTATTTTTTCAGCTTAGAACTAACAGAAATAAGTAAAACCAATCGTCTCTTCGTTTTGAACGATTCATTCAACTATGTTCTGATACAAATTATTATTTTCGTTGGAATTTTGGGAGCTATTTTGTTACATACACCTATAACATCTCAATACGTTTTTGCAATGGCAAATATTTATGGCCACCTTAGAATTACTTTAACAATTTTCGCTCCTCTTGGAATTCTGCATTTTGGTGAATTACGAACGTCGATTTTACGTATTCAAGAATTTCTATTAACTGATAATGAGAATTCAAAAAAAAATGCTTTAGTACATAAAACCGAAAAAACTATTTCTGGAATAAGCGTCACAGACCTATGTGTTAAATGGGACAATTCTCAAAATGATTTCGTGTTAAAAAATATAACTTTGAGTGCGACTTGTGGACAACTTATCGGTATAGTGGGTCCTGCAGGTAGTGGTAAATCGGCTTTATTGCAAACAATAATTGACGAGACTGAGGTAATCAGTGGGAAATTTTCGGTTAATGGACGAATTGCTTATGCTTCACAAGAAGCTTGGATTTTCTCAGCGAGTGTTAAACAAAACATTCTTTTCGGTGAAGAAATGGACGAAGAAAAGTATCAAAAAGTGGTCAAAGTGTGTGCTTTAGAACATGATTTGGCTTTGTTGCCTTACGGTGATAATACTCTAGTCGGAGAAAGAGGAGTCATGTTGAGTGGAGGACAAAAAGCTCGTATTAATTTGGCTAGAAGTGTCTACAGAGATGCTGATATTTATCTCCTGGATGATCCATTATCAGCTGTGGATGCTCATGTGGGTCAGATTATTTTTAAAAATTGCATCCGGGGTTATTTGAAAAACAAATGTGTTATCTTGGTGACTCATCAGTTGACATACCTTCAAGAAGCCACAAATATATATTCATTGAAAAACGGTCGACTGTACTGTAACGAACACTTTGATAAAATTTTTGAATACAATAGTGACAATGCTCCCAATGATAAAGATCTTGTAATTAAATCAAATAACGAGTATTCAGTCCTCCCAAGTAAAACTAAAGAAGTAAGAGGTAATCTCAAAATGATTAAAATCTACAAATCATATTTCACGGTTGGGGGAAAATCGTTATTTTTTTTTGTAATATTTATATTCTTCCTACTTCAATACACGACCAACGGTCTAGATTATTTCACTAGTTTTTGGCTTAATGTAGAACAGGGATCAATGAAACTTGAATCGCAAGTTAGAGATTTTTTTTCATATGAGAACTTCTTGATTGTTTACAGCTGCATTTTGTTGATATTGTTACTATTAATATTTATATACAGCTGGGCGTTTGTAAAATACATTAAAAATGCTTCAACCTATTTACACAACGAAATGTTGGCTAAAGTCTTGAATGCAGATTTGTCATTTTTCCATAACAATTCAGATGGTAGAATTCTTAATAGGTTTTCTATGGATATGGGAAGTGTTGATCAAAAAGTACCTTTGCAATTGATATGGATTTTACCAACACTTATGTCTTGTCTTGGAACATGTGTCCTAATTTCAATTTTGAATTTCTGGATGATATTTCCAACCATCGCGTTATTTCCTATTTATTATTGTCTGGGTGTTGTATTTCAACCAACTGTGAAGGGTATTAAGAGAACAGAAGGCATCAGTAAGAAAGGATAACTTATCAAAGTTGTCAAAGTTTTTAAATATTTTTTAGCTCGTAGCCCTGTTTATAGTCACTTAACAGCCACTCTCCAGGGCTTAACAACAATTAAAGCATTTGGAGCACAAAATATACTTCAGGAAGAATTTGAAAAGCACCAAAATATTCACAGTTCTGCCCTCCATACTGTCATTGGTATTTACGCCTTGATTGGTTTTATCGCAGAATTTATCAGTGTTTTATACACCACGGTGGTTTCTTTCGCCTTTTTCTTATTTGGAAAAGGTTTGTTTAAAAACAAAGTAATAATAATAATAAATGTTAACATAAATTTTTAGGAGCTTATATCGGCAATGTGGGTTTAGCAATTCACTTAGCTATCCAGTTAACAGGTTTGGTGGGATTTTTAATGAGAATTTGGAGTAGTTTAGATTCCGAAATAACTTCGGTAGAACGAATTTTAGATTACACAAAATTATCGCAAGAAACAGGGGGAAAACAATCTCCTCCAAAGACATGGCCCAGTGAGGGTCGAATATCATTTCAATCAGTATCTCTTAGATATTCTTCTACTGAACCTCCTGTCCTGAAAAATGTTAATTTTACCATTGAACCAGGTGAAAAAATTGGAATAATTGGCAGAACTGGTGCCGGAAAGTCTTCTCTGGTCTCCACACTTTTTCATCTTTTCCATTTTGAGGGAACAATATTTATTGACAACGTCGATACAAAGTCGATTACTCTCCAAGATCTTCGATCAAAAATTTCTGTCATTCCCCAAGACCCTGTACTATTTTTGGGAACTCTGCGAAAAAATTTGGATCCGTTTGATGAATTTTCTGACGCTCAATTGTGGTCAGCTCTTGAAGATGTTGAAATGAAAAGTGTGATTCCTAAGTTGGAAAGTGAGGTTTCAGAAAGAGGTTCGAACTTCAGTGTTGGACAGAAACAACTGCTTTGCTTGGTTAGAGCTATGTTAAGAAACAACAAGATTGTGGTTCTCGATGAAGCTACAGCTAATATTGACTTCGAAACAGATGAATTGATTCAATCAGCTATTCGAAGAAAGTTTCAGAATTCGACAGTTTTGACAATTGCACATCGATTAAATACTGTTCTGGATTCTGATAAGATTTTAGTGATGAATGATGGAGTTGCAGTGGAATTTGGAAGCCCAATGCAGCTACTGGAAGATATTAACAGTTATTTTTATCAAAATTACATGCAGGATAACAGAAATCATGATCTGGAAAAGAAATAAATGTTGATTGTTTTTTTACGGCATTTAATTACTATAGAGACCTATTCTAAGTAATATGAAACGACAGTTTTGTGAAAAAATCGTCTATCCATATAATTATTATATTTCATACCTACTTTGATTTTTTTCAAGTAAAATTAATTGTAATTAAATTAAGCGCTATGTATAAATTCTAGATATAAACTAGGTATAAGGAAGTTTGTGGTTGTCTATACACGACGATTCAAAAGTGTCGGACCATCTTTTAGGTGGTAATAAAGGACATCTAACTGAATTCTAACTGAAAAGTTCCCATAACAAAAAATTGTTTGAGATTTTTTTTCACTAGATATACCTCTTCTAAGGTTAGATTTTGAGTTAAGTTTTTGGCCGTTCAGATAATGTTTTCTTGAATGTAATTACCAGAAACGACAGATCTCGCAACATTGAACAGATTACCTGTTGAAAAAATCACCAATTTGTGTCTTATGGTGTACAAAATATTTAAGAAACTAGCAATTTCAACAATAAATTAAATTCGACAACATTGGAAACAAAAGAGTTAGGTGCCTGCATGATATAATATGGAAAATGACAGATGTTTTTTTTCAAAAAAAAAAGGTTTGAAAAAAATCTGAATTCATTTTTATGCTTAGCTGAAAGTCTTCTATACCATTCGAGAGTTCGTTCGCCACTTTTGGCTTCTGATTTTTTCCTAATTATTTTTCCAGCTGATATAAAAGTCAAAGTACAAAATTTAAAATCCCATAACTTCGAAATTTTTATAAAGAATTTTTTTAACATTGTTTATATGTTTGTTAACTTGTTATTTTTCTCTGGGGCGCAAATTCTGAAACATCTGTACATAATTTTTTAGTATTATTACAGGTTCCAAGCTTGAATAATCTGAGAATTAAAGAAACACAAAAATTTCCAGATAACAATTTTATTCGACTGTAAAAGTAAATGATACATGGATTTAGCGTCCATAAAAAATTTCAAATTAAATGTATTTGGGGTTTATAAAAAAAGTAAATGAAATAAAAATTTAATCGGCATCTGTGGCCTTATAATGATCGGTATCAACAGTGGTATACACGTGTCCCTCATCCAGTAAGAAATCCAAAGCAACCCTGGAACATACATTAAAACAGAATCCAACGCAACAATAAATACCCACTCAGCCTCCCTCGCTTGTGGTCCAAAATGTTGCAAAATTTCGCTCCTGCTCAATCCACTTTTAGTTTTGATAGGTTTCAACAAGTTAATAATTCTGACTTGTATTGGCTTAAGTCCCTCTGAATTATCTGTAGTTGTTGAAGTAGACGCCATGGATACATCACTGGTGGGAAGTCGACCTTCTGCCAGTCTTTCGGCGTATAATTTCGTTTGAACGATTTCCAAAAGATGATTTGTTATGAGGTTTAAATCATCAACAGGTAGCATCTTTAGAATCATGAGAATCTTTTCATCATCTTGGTTGCGGATTGATCCAAAAACGCGAACATAACAATTCTCTTTGACAGGGGGAAGAGCCGGTGTTACGCTCTCCTGCAAGGAAGAATAAGAAAAAGAAATAGAAACAATTGCACTTACATTATCGACCTCTAACCACATAATAGCTTTAATCGAGGCACTGTTGTCCTCAATGATGCAGGTGGCTTTGGTGGTCTGGACCTCAAAGTTTCTTAAAACGCCCACGACACTGGCCTGAAATTTTTGTTTAAATGACAACAAATTGATTGTTTTAAAAATCATAAATAATGTCTGTTTCCACATTTTACAACAAAAGAAATGATTGAAATTAAGTCTCAAAAAAAGAAAAACTTACGATTTGGACCGGCATTCCACATAAATTGAATTCCTCATCAGTGCAATCAAGTATGTGAGATATGAATAAAGGAACAACATTTTGAACGCGTCTGACTTGCTGTAATCACACAAGTGAATATAAAATTACAAAAAGTGCCCCACAAACCTGTTTTTTCTTTGCAGTAGACCCTTTATTATCATCATTTACGAAACCTCCATTGTTACTGATATCTGTAATAATTGAATGGTCTAATTTATGCTACATACAAATAAGATAATTACCAAATTGATTCATACCAAGCATATTAATGTTTTTGTGAAAATGCACTCTTGTAAAGTTCGTGGTTACTTCATTCGGCGGGAATACTGTGACATTTCCTGTCACATTTTAGGAACTTTTGATTTTCACTGACAAAATCTAGGGATTTTGATGAAATAATCAAAATTCAAAAATATTATTTTCCCAAAAAATATAAATAATCGGTCCAGAGGCCAAAAAGACAAAATTTTCACGTTTACAAAAAATATAGAGGGCGCCACTTTTCCTATTTATTTCATGTGTCATTTTAGGTTATCTTCTAAATTAAATGGAAAGCACCGTTCCACCTAAAGTTGAAAACGAGGCGGTAAAAGTGCGTGACGCCCTTTTGGGGCTCACTGCCCTCAATCATGATGTAGTTCTGTTAGATTACGACAATGTTGTGATTCAAAGGGACTACAAAAACTTATCAAAAGTCCGGTTGTTGTCTGGAGGAGTCGCCGGTACTGATTTGATTCACGCGGTTTGTGTGGGTAAAGGCATGTTAACGGCGGCCATTCTGGGTAATTTTCCAAGATTTGTAACTTGCCTAACTCTGTTTTGCAGGGGACGACACGGTCCCAAGCTCCCGCCAAATTCTACACACAATTAAGGAATTAAACGAAGGGGACAATTGCGGGATTTTTGTGATAGTCCAAGCGAACGCCGATTTATTTAATTTTGGGTTGGCAGTCGAAAGGGCTAATTCGGAATGCCGCACTCGAGTCAAATTACTCCCAATTAATGACGATAAAAGTGTTGTAAAAGAACGATATTCGTGTGGGTTCATCCTCTTGGCGAAAATTCTGGGGGCTTTGTCGGAAAGTGGCGGGTTGTACAACGACATTTGGGAGTGTTATAAACAAATCATCGATCAAATTATCACCGTCCCTTTGAATTATTCACACGAAGAATCGGGCCCCCGGAAACGAAAAAGCATAGTCCTTTCCACCGATTTTGCGTCGAACGTTAGCCACATTATTGATAAAAAATCGCAAATTTACTTAGGTCTCCACCCGTCAATACCGACTGTAGCTCTTATAAATGCGTCGAAAACTATGGAAAGATACGTTGAGTTGGGTTTTGTCAAACAAGTTGTCGAAAGATTGAAAGAATTAGGCGTTTGCGTGGTGCGAATTTACTACGGGAATTTTATTTCAGTGGCCCCTGGAATGGCCTTTCTGACTGTAATGAAAGTGCACGATATGAAAATTATTGATTATTTGGACGCCCCATGTGGCGCTATTGGTGGGTTTAACACCACCTCATAATAATGTCACAAAAGATATTTTTAAGGTTGGCGAAGTTTTAGACAATTTTTACCCGAAATTAACACCTACAATGAAATTCCGGGCCTGCTGACCCACCATGGAAAACAACACATCAAGCTAAAGGGCCCCAAACTGGGGGAATTCCAGAGTAATATTCTTGTTAAAGCGGTTCAATTTGCGTGCGACGCTCTCATTTCGTGTGAGCGTCAGTTGAATATAATTGATGAGGAAAAAAGCGATGGTAATTAGTAATTGATTCAAGAAAAAAAAAAACAATTAAATTAATTTTAAAGGCAATGTTGGTACCCGTCTTAAAAAGATGGCCGACGGCGTGAACAAACGCATCAATAATAAAAAATTACCTATAAATTGCCCTTACGGCTTTTTGAAAAAATTGGGCATTATCGCAGAGTCGGCTATAGGGGGCGCAATGGGCTCCATTTATGGTGTCATGTTTGAAAGCGCCGCCATTTTATTTGGGGGATTACCCGATACGGAAACTGTAACACCGGCTATGTGGGCGAAAGCTTTCACTGTTGGAATTGAATCCCTGAAAAAGTATGGCAAAGTCATCACAAATTCTTTGTGAACCAACTTTTTTTCATAGATATTGTATGAAAGAACCGGATGAAAAAACAATGTTATATCCGCTGAAACGTAGTGATGAAATAATTAGAAATGAGATGGAAAAGGGGGAGCATTATTTGCAATATTTTGGAATGGGAGTTAATGTGGCTGAAGAGGCAGCACAGGAAACCAAACTTCCAAATTGTAAATACTCAGATGCAGGAGCACATGCAGTCGGAATATGGATGCGGGCGGTTTTCGAGGGAGTTAAATTAATGACTGAGGGCAACCTGTGCGAGGGTGAAAGTTTAAATAAATAAATGATTTATAAAAAAAAGTTTTTTTCTCAACTGCGATCAGTGTCGCCAACGTTGAAAAGTCAATTTTTTTTGACATTTGACAATTGTTTACATTTACGATTGTGATCATTTTCAAAAAAATATCAAATAATTTAGTGATTATATCATAATTAAACGTTTCTGCTGGCCTTCTGCTCATTAGCAGTTACGCAATGGGGGGCAAATTTGAATCATTACGGATCGAGTATCAGGTGAGTGTCAACATAACCTCAAACCACCACTTGAAACCCACTTTTTAGGATGTTTTACGCAAATCTTTCAAATCCAAAACCACCGATTTGATTGAAACCAAAGCAAAGCAGTTGTCTAAATCCGCCATCGATCTTAAAGCCCCTCTCGACCAAGCATTTCGCGATATACTGCTTGAACTCCTTGAGAACGAAGTAAACGTTTCAGTCTTACGCGAGTTGGTCGATTTTAGCGTGCTAACATGCCGCAAAGAACTGAGCAACCCCACAATGCCTGTGATGCTCCTTTCCGATATTTTCGACGCCTTAACTCTAGACGCCTGTCAAGAAATGTTCCTTTATGTTGAAAATAATGTAGAAGTGTGGAAAGAGAACTTGTTTTTCAGTTGTTGCAAAAACAATTTACTCCGGTTGTGTAACGATCTGTTGAGGAGGCTATCGAGGTCAACAGCAACCGTTTTTTGCGGCCGAATTTTGTTATTTTTGGCAAAATTTTTCCCATTTTCTGAAAGATCTGGATTGAATATTGTGAGTGAATTTAATTTAGAAAACACGACAGAGTATGGGACAGATTCGAATCAAGAAAAAGTGGCTGACGTTGAAGGCGACGAGAAGAAAAATGTTATTGATTTCACGTTCTATTGCAAGTTTTGGTCCCTACAGGACTTCTTTAGGAATCCTAATCAGTTGTACACTAAAGTACAGTGGAAACTGTTTTGTACCGTAATTACGCTATTCAATTTTTATTAGTTTTGTATTATATTTTTTATTGTAGTACGCTACGAGTGTTTTTAATACATTCCAAGGCCTCAAACTTGAACATGTGGAAAGTAACGGAAGCTACTCTGATGAAAGTAAAAATAAAATGTATTTTTCCAAATATTTAACAAGTCAAAAATTGCTCGATTTGCAACTTTATGACGTTAATTTCCGGCGGGCCGTCCTGTTGCAGTTTTTAATTTTATTTCAATATCTATCATCATCAGTAAAATTTAAATCGTGAGTTATATATTTTTTGTAGACATTCACTTTTAATGTCTTATTGTAGAGAAAGTTTTGAGTTAAAGTCTGACCAAAAAGAGTGGATTCAATCAAGTACTGAAAAAGTCTACAGTTTGTTACGAGAGACTCCTCCAGATGGCAAAAGATTTGCCGAAATTGCATCAAATATTCTGAGTCGTGAGGAATATTGGAACGCTTGGAAAAACGATGGTTGTCCCGAATTGAAAAAATCTGTGGTTCCCACGGAAAGTCCTGACAAACGCAAAACCGAAGAACGCCCTCTTTTGGGTGATATCATCAAAGAGGCTTCAAGCGAAGGCAAATATTACATGGGAAGTACCGAATTAACCAAACTATGGAATTTATGTCCCGATAATTTGGAAGCTTGTAAAGGCCGAGAGCGTGATTTTCTGCCCACACTTGAAGATTATTTCGCCGATGCTATAGCCCAAATAGAATCACCAACCCCCGTTAAAGATGAAGATAATTTACTAAAAGATGGAAATTACGGATGGAGGGCCTTGAGACTATTGGCTAAACGGAGCCCCCACTTCTTCACTTACAGTACTGTAATTATGAATCCCCTTTCTTCGTATTTGGAAATGATGGTGAAGAAAATTGCCCATGATAAGCCAGGACGTATCACGGAAAATTCACAAGAGTCCCAACAAAACGACACCGAGGAAGAAAATTTGTTTAAAGACACGCAGGTTGATGAAAACACTGAAGACATTAAACCGTCAGAAACGGAGGAATTCATGGATGACAAAAACACTCGAGTTGAACATAAAATAAACCCAAATCAATTGCAACTATTCAGTGAGAAAGTCGCCCCGAATTGGAAAAAATTAGCCAGTAAGTTGGGTTTTAAAACTGATGAAATACAATTTTTCACAATGGAAAATGAGAAAGAGATTGACCAGGCCAGAAATATGCTTCAGTTGTGGTTTGATGACGACGAAGATGCCACCTTGGATAACTTTTTGTATATTTTGGAAGGATTGGAAATGGAGGAAGCGGCGGAACTTGTCAAAAATGAAATTAATTCTATGGATTCCTAACAGTATATTTAAGTTTTAAGTCGTTTCGCCTTATCTTTTGTTTTTAATTTTCGTTTCTTATGCAATTCTGTGTGATTAACATTGGGACATTCTCGTTTTTTATGCCCCGGTTGTTTGCAATGAAAACAATCCTTCAATAAATTATTGAGAAATTGGTCACGAGTTTTAAGACACTTACCTGACTAAACACCAATTTCCCACATTTATGATCAGGCTGGCAACATCGGTTACATTTTTTGCAATGCTGCCAACTCGGTTTAACACACTTTTCACACTTGAGGCAATGGGTGTACGTCCGGCCATCTTTTGAAGTACATTTCCGACATATTTGGCAATGTTTGTTTTCTTTTGAAACCCATTTGTTGCATTCTGCACAAAACTTGTAGCCTTCTTCTGGCGGAAGAGCTATTTTACTTTAATTTTTTTGTTAAGGAAGGTTTGATAAATGCTCGGCTTATTACCTTGGGTCAACATTCGTGAAAATTCGGACTGGTGATCCAAATTTTCGAGCTTTAGCGCCATCTTGAAACAAAGGATGATTGTCATAGTCGACTTTATAATCCAACATGGAATAGTCGGAAAGACTATTTAATATTTGCGGTTCCATAAAGTAAGGAAATATCCAAAAAATCGGCAATTCCACTTTAAGTTTGTTCAGACGATTGTATTTTTGAGTAATTTGATTGATTGTTTGGGCTAGGGGTTCTACCCGACCTCCAAAAGGAGGGTCTAAAATCATGACCACACTGCAAAAATAACCATTAGTCGATGGGGAAAAACAATCACGTGACTAACCTTTCAGATTTTAAAAAATCGTCAAATACTTCTTGAGACTCAGGGTGAAAGAAATGGTTATTAAAACTATTGTACCAACAAAATTGCAAAGGGCCATAGAAATTATGATAACGTGAATCGAAATCTAATAAAAGACTGTCCATATCAGGGCACTGATTTGTGATAAATTCATGTATTCTGGGAGTCCCCAAACAAACAATTTTGCGATACTTCAAGCATTTAAAAATATCCACAATTACTCTGACGGAAGCTCGTGAAAATAAAAACTGTGCTTCCTTCTTCGCATCTTCCAATGGGGACAAAAACTCACTTGGATGTTTAATTTGATAATCACTAATATTTATAACAAAATCATGTTCCATGTGTTTGTCCCAGAATTTTTTCAACTGAAAGCTAGAACACGTATGGCAATATGCCCTGTCACTCGGAGATAATTGTTGAATCTAAAAACACTACTAAAACACCCAAATAAAACATTTTTGAACATACTTTGCTCAATATTAGAAATAATTTTCTATGATCGATTTTCCGAAGAAACTTTTCACGCTCCTTGTGCCACACTTCAGTTTTATATTTATGTTTCTCGTCTTCGTATAGAAAAAAGGGGCACAATTTGCGGTCCCTGCAGGCTGAACAAGCAAAAAATCGTCTCTTAATTCCATTAGTATTACGTGAAAAAAGAAGAGTGGGGCCGTGGGGGCACCAAGGGTGGCTTTGCAAGTCTTCAATAATCACTTCCACTCCCGACATGCTTTTAATTTGTTGAAATTGAAAAATTACAAATGAATCAGACATAACCACACTTTATCACATAGTGTGATGGAGCAGCATTGCCAACCGTGAAAAATTGAAAATTTTAAAATTTGAATGCATTATTATTTTTGAAACGATTATTATTATTATTACTGGCATCTTGAAAAACTTACTGAAAAACTGCCCACTTTTAAGTTCTTTACAGGCAGTGACTTGGGTTTTGGACCGCAGAAAAAATGCTTTGGAAAATTAAGAGACCAAAAAAGCGATTAATGAAGTAACGTACAGTTGGAGACAAAATACTTTGGTCGTCAATGTCACTTGAGTGACACTAAATGGTAAAGCATGCTTTAGGACTGTTAACCTTATTTTTAGTTACTGTCAAGTTCTATGTACATATTTTTGATAGGAAAATATAATAGCTGTCATTAATTTGAAATTCTCATTTATTTTAACGTTAAAGGTTGAATTACATTAAAGTTTCAGAAAAGTGACGACCAAAGTATTTTGTCTCCAACTGTAATGATTGTTGTAAAAGTGTAGACTTTGTGATTGGTTAGTTTAAAATCGTCCATTATAATAATGTGAAAAACCAATCACATTAGATTTTTGAATTCATTCAAAAATTGAATGCAATGATGTGATTGGTTCGTTTGAGATTGGCCATTATTATTTATAATGTGAGTATGGAAAAACCATTCTTATTAGTCTTTAAATTCATTCAAGAATGTAACGAAATTGGTTTTAATTTAGATTTCCATTTATTCATTAAAATGATTTCCCTTTTTAATAAACTAACGAAAGCGTTTTGAAAAATAAAATCAGAAATGTGTTAAATATTTTTCCGATCCTAGATGCTTAAATTTAAACATTTTTTTTGTTAAGGTAAACTATTTAGTACCCATTTAAGTTTACTTTGTTTCATTAATTTGTAATATGTGTGTGTAACAGTGAGGAGCATAAAATTTGTTCGTTTTTTTGGGTAAAATTGTTGGCGTGGATATCTTTCATTCAAAATTAAGTAATACTTTTTGTTTTCAGCGTTGTGCAGTCCTCACTTTATATTAAAATATCTTTGAAACGGTCCATTTTAGTGGTATAAAAGTTTATGCGTTTTTTATTCGAAATTGATTACTCTATCGATTTGAACAATAAAAAATAGTGTTAAGAGAGCAAAGAAAAACAGAGAAAATGTCACTTGCAACTGCAGCAACCGGAGATTGAGTAGATGTTTATGAATTCCTACCCTGTAGATAATAATCGTTAAATAAAATTAGCCAGTAATAACCGATAGTTTAGAACCAAAACACTTAGTGCAGGTGGATTTATCTAGTTAAGTATAAAATAACTTTCGTTTATAAATAACTTTGTAGAGTTTTAGCCTATTTATTATTGTTACGTGAACATAATAGCTGAAGCCTATAATAATTGATATTTATCAAAATTCTGATGTAAGTAAAATAATCATTTTGCTAAATTTACTCTAATAAATCTTCATTTATTCCACTCATTTTTTATTGAAGACACAAAGTTTACTCCGCGTTTTCAATCACTGAAAATAATTCTATTTCAGGACGACTAGATGACTCTGCTTTCAGACTTAACTCTTTTACCGATATTACATTAAATTTAATAATTTAAGCTTATTTGTGGCTATAATCGACCTAGTACTAAAATTACCTTCTTCAATAATTTAAAAAGTAATTTAGTCATTTGAACCCATTATACAAAAATAGTTTTTTTTGTTTTTGAGGGAATGTGACACAGTTGTGATTCTCAAAAAAGGAATCTGCCCTTTAACCACAAAATTGCTTCGTATTGACCTAGTGCAATATGACGTCATTGATGCCTTTACATTCTGTCGTAAGTATCGTCATGGCATCGTTACAAGGTGGGAGCCATCTGCTACATTGCGTAAGAAACGATGTTGAATTATTTAATGACAGAATGAGAATGCTGTTCTATTAATAATTCATATATGTTCCTCTTTCATTGAAAAAAACTTATTTCTTCCCCTCACAGGGGATAGAAATAATCACCGCAATTTCGACTCGTGCACCCATTTTACCCCCAATAAAAGAATAATTAGCCACGTCAGAACAGAAATTTCTATTGAAACTTTAATACAATATTGATTAATAAGTCTCGCCACCACCTATGTTTCCATCCCTTGACGTTCCGGAGGGGTGCTTCCAGTTTGACCGTGAACACTGCAAAGCGTGGTCGAAATTCCGGGGCTGTGATTTCGATGATTGGTGTTAATTGAAACGATTTCGTAATGAAATCGCTAAACGAGTGCTTTATTGAAACTGTTAGTTGTTGTTGATTAAAGTGATATGTTTGTGTGATATACGGATGCCAATTACTTATGATCGGTTTGGGCTATTTGGTCAATGCGACGAAGATGTCCATGCAGTTGGTGCAGAAGGTGGATGTGACAAAAATCAGTAAGTTATCAGTGAGAGTCATGTGGCAGCTAAATCCGGAATATTGACAAAATTTTTGATTAGGGTATTTAAAGATTTTGAGAAGTTGTGGTATTTTTAGTAAGCTTAATTGTTGAATTGTTCCGGAAATAACTGGTAGATACCGAAACAAATATGACATTAGTATTGTAGTATCATAGTGCACAAGTTAATTAAAATAGCGTATGAGAAAATATTAAAAAAATATTTTCAAATCCTGTTTTCCTATTAGAAGTGGTGAAAATAATAGTAATAATTCGAAAATTATTAATTGTTTCATATTTTTTGTTTATTGCTATAACTATTTGTGATTTAATGACTAGTCTACAACTGATAAGAGATAAGTACAAAAATACATACATGTATAATGGAGACATAACTCAACACGAATTCAAGTGGATTGTAATCTGCCCGATAAGTTGGCTCCATTATTATTATTCTCGACGAAAATCACTGAAAAATGAGCGAGATAACCGTGAAAGATACGTATAGCAAAACATAATAATATATTTGAACAGTTTTGTGATTTGGTATTGAAAACATTACATTATTTTATTTATACAATAACATATTATACCTCATTATAAAATTATAGTTGGAGTTGTCTGTCCAGATAACAAAAATTAACCTTTGTATTTATGTTTTGAATCAAATTTTCCACTTGTAGTTTATCATTCTCCAGTAGAGAAACTAAACACGTCTTGTCATGGCATATCAGACGATACAAAAGTTTGGTAAGTTATTGTTTTACAGTGTGTTTTATCTAGATTTCTTGTGAGTTATATTTGTGGGATCTGATATTGTTATTATCAAAAAAATGACATGCGGTAAAAATCCGTTATTTGATGCAAACAATGAACCGTGGAATAATTTCTCTCTGATGGTTGGTTATTAACTGTATTTGCATTAACTGGGGCAGTGACGGTGCTCTGCGAGTGGGATTTATCTCGTTTTACAACAAAATTCTATCTTTTTACCAAAAATAGATATCCGCAATATAAACAAAAATTTTGCTGTTAGTAAAGAGAAGTATTTATTAATTATGCATTTCAGTATTATTGAAATAAATCTACGTACATATTTAAAATTATTGGTTTAGTACTTGATTAAAAGTAATTTTCATTGTGGATAAACAATGGATAAATATCAACAAAAAATGGGATTTACTTATTTACCTAATAATAATAATTGTAATTTGCCATTTTTTGAAAGAAATTAAGTTATACCTCTCCCTTAGCCAAATAAAAAAAATTCTCAGACAAAAAACTTTAACAGTTAACAATTAATTTATTTCAAAACATAGAAATACACATTAAATTTACTGATAAAGTAAATAAGTATTGATAAGTTAGTAAGTATTGATAAGTAAGTAAGTATAGTGGCTAAAATCAGAAGTCAGTTTTAATCACAATATACTTAAAGGTTTACAAGTAGTATAATTATGTAACTTTAACAATATAAGAAAGTAAAATATGTACGTTTCTCCAAAATAAGTAATTTTTTCAACTATCTCTGTATCTACTTTAATTTTTTTGTTACCTCGATAATGCTACCTAATTAGTTGACAAAATATAAAAACAATGTGTAAACTATTATCAATTAAAAACACTTTTTTTAATCTTCCTCAGGTCTCATTTATCTATTTTAAGATAATTATTTATAAAAAAGATAAAAATCGCGAAACCAATAATGCCCTCACAATAAGTTCTGTACCAAAACTGTTAATAATAATTCTTCTAAACATTATACATATTTTCTTTATTTTTCAATTTTCAATTTAAGTTTTTTTTCTTTATCATAATTATACAGCTCTAGACACTAATTTGATACCTGCTTATTTTTTTAATGGAATTTAAGTACTTAGTTTCACAGTTTGTTTTACTCTTTTGCTTTCCTACACTTACTTTCACGCAATTTTTGTTTATTGTTCCGTATGCAAAATTTCGTCCTGGATGATCTTCAGCCGGCGTCTCAGCACTCCCACTGCTCCCACTCCCATATATAAGAATTCCTTTGTGATCTCGACGACCCCTCCAGGAAACCTCTTTGTGAGTTATTAAACGTACACCTACAACAGGTGAATGTCCTGTTCACTTGGTCACTGTACCATCGCTCTTCAGCTGTTTCTTCGCCTCGGATTACCATAAGGCCGTGGATGACCCCGTTTTCGGCACCTAACGGCTTCTCCCAAACAAGGCCAACGAAGGTACCTACCTTGCCGAGTGGGTACCTGCAGGACCCTTCACGCTAAAAATATCTTGGGTTCGTCGACCCTGATGGTAAAAAGTAATGTGGGTCGCGCGATTTTATTATTTTTGCTCATTTCCGCATGGGCAACCTTGTATCTCTTTGGTTTCGCCAATCCATCTGTTCCAGTTGTTGGTACCTCGACGGGTTCGATGGATCTGCCAGTACCGTATTTTGGTGGTACGTTGTTTACATCAAACAAAAGATCCGCGGTTATTGGCCTTGTCCGAATTATTCATTCGCAGATAAATTTTATCGCGGATTTAATTAATCATCACCTGTGGCCCCACTAGGCGCACTTCTCTAGTTCTTCATCCCGAATCAAAAAGTCCCCTCTCTCGTGATCTCGTTCACCGTTACCATATTCGACTTCTCCAGATCGGACTATGAGGTGTTGTAGTGCGTGAGGGATGGACGCGATCATCCTCAAAACCAAGAACTTCATCAAACAGCACCAGAAGGTTAAGAGGAGGAAAAAGGATGACGACAACAGAAGGGACAAACACAGGAGGTGGAGGAACAGTGAGTCTTTTTCTTTGGAATGAGGCCAGGACTTTACTGACTTGACCCGTTCTTGCATTTTTACGATTATTTAAGAAATCGCATCTTTCACTTCTATTCCTTCTACAGTTGCCTACTTTCTATGGATTTTTTGAATCTTAATTAATGCCGGGTTGAAACCAGATATCTATAGCGGAATATTAGCGACGTGATACGTTACACGCATTTTTAGCAATATTTTTTTTCAACATACAGTTATGTTCAGTTAAAAAAATATTACAGCGGCATATTTATTTATATATGTTTCTATGCATTTTGTTATTTACATATTTACGATAATTTTACGATAGCCGTTTAATTTTTGTACAGTTGTACACGTATGTGTAAATCGAGATATTTTTTGTCAAGAAAGTTGTTTTACTATGTTTTTTCGAATTTAAATAGTTGCTAGAAGACAGAAGGAAGCAAAAATATTTACCCACAAAAAATTTGATACACAGGTACCAGTTACAAGATCAGATAGTACGTAGTAGCAATATCTAAAACATATATATGAACATATATGTATTTTTACTTTTATCAATTGTTATAACAAACACTTAATCAATTTAATTTGTTAATAGTTAATTTGTTATCGCCATAGGTACAATCGATTACTTTGCCAAAACTTCCAGTTAATTCGAATTTTTAATGTGTACTTAAGAAAAGACCCTTTGATAAGATAAAATTTTCTTTTTGAAAAATAGAGATTTAAAAATTAAGCGTTTTACAGTTTTTTTTGTCGTTAGAGGTTACTGGTAAGTACTACTAAATTTAAGTGTGGAAACTGTATATTTTATTCCAGGACGTCCTAGTTTTCTCTTTTTAGGTTTTTTGTTTTTCACATCTTGTATGTGTTTATATTCCTAAATCAAATTATTGCACAAATACATGTGTATGTATTTTTTCAAATGATTTCTTTTAAAACGTATTGTATTTATCTTCTTGTTAAGCTCAGGTAATCTACATGATTTTTATTCGCTTCATTGTATGTTTCAAAGCCATTTGATACCGATATCAGGGTGTTTGCATTTGATAAATCCCCTGGGTTTGAACTATTTTGGCCGATTTTACCACAAATAATAATAATGATTCATGTTTAATAAAATTACTAGCTGCACTGCCGAGATATAGGTTGATTGGGTTTTAGCAATTGGAAAAATATTAAATACTCATATACCAGGTGAATAAAAAATATGGAACCAAACGTTTTTTGCTTAAACTATTTATTTTTTGGAAAAACTTATTGACGAATGGTAAAGTACTATAAAAATGTGATGTGAGTATTAAGAATAATATTTTTCAAAATTTTCTTTTATTTTTGAGTTCTACAAATTTTTTATTTTTTTTTAAATGGTAACCCACTACAAAACCATTTTTCACGATCTAAGGATTAGATATATGTACTTTATACATATTTACTTAATTCAATAAAAATTACATAAATTATAATCTTGACAAAAAAATCGCATACCTTAAAAACAAAACAAAATTTCGTTCTTAAAATACAATCACATTTTTTATATTATTTTAATTTGAATTAATTATTATTTTCTAGAGGCAAATGATTTAAAAAAAAACCGCTAGGTTCCATACACTAAACATTACTTTAGTTTTGCTTGACCGGTTTCGCCTTTATTCAGAGGTTTACGATTTATTACACAAGTATTCTCAAAATGTCAAAATTTTATAGTTTAAACGTTTATAAATTTTTAAACGTTAAAATTGAAAAAATCATGTGTTATGATTAAACTGTATAAATGTATACCTTCAACTTTTTTGGTTGTGTCTTCAAGAACAATTTAACTTTAGTTAATTAATTAAAATATTTGGATAAATAAAAATAAATAAAATACATCTTTACCGTTCTTTGACAAAACTCTTTTCGGAGAATGGCGGCTAATTTCCCTTTGTTCCAGTGGACGACATGGAACAATACCTCCACTACATCGGCGGCGGCGCGGGGGCATTGGCCCTCACCGGCGTAGCCGCGGCCTCGGCCTTCTACCTAGCCAGCAGACCGTCCTCCCAAAAACCATTGTTTCCACTAGACGAACAATGCCTCCTCGAAGCGGTAAGTTTTTCGGTACAATTTTTTTTTTTTTGTATAACGGACCACTGCACGATTTCGACCAACGGTTAATTAAGGGCGAATTTATGAGATAACGGCAGCGACAGTGACGTCACTAATCGTAAGATTAGCTGTTCTGGAACGCACCAAACTTTAAAATAAAACATTAGCATGGCTGCGGGCCAAATCGGCAAATGTCATGTGCTCCTATCGGAACAATATTTTCGGACCTCGGGATTAGGGACGAAAAGTGAAATTTCACATTTGGGTCGGGGATTCGATCGCTGACCCAAATCGAATCAGGGGATTATCGATTGGAACTGGGCCAGACTTGGGGTCAAAACACCCAAAATTATAAGTGTGGTAAAACACAAGGCGACTTTTTGTCAGTATTTTGTAAATAGTTTACACTAACACAAATAAGAAATATTTCTATTTTAAAATTTAATAGTTGATATTTTGTATCAAATAAAGAGAATATCTGGATAATTCTATGTTCCAGTTTTTCATTTTTTTTTTAAACTACATAGTGATACAGAATGACTGAGTCTGTTGGCAATATTAAATTTAATATTTAATAATTTTCAAATGATAGGTACAATCTCTGGTTACTCTAACTTCCAGTAACCTGACATTGACAGTTGCGCATGATAGTACTATTCAAAACTCAAATTTGAAAATCTTAAATCAATTTTTTAAAATGGAGCTTACGCTAGAACATGATATTTCATTGGGAGAGCATACTTTAGAACAGCGATTAATTAAATTATATCCGGTTACAGTTGTGCAAACTGCTGAAATATATTTTTTTAATTCTGTTGCCAACAGATACAGTCATTCGGGAACACTTTGTATTTAGTATTTTGTCAACTTGCGTAATTAAAAAAATATTTTCTTAATTCAAAGAAGTGTATAATTTGTAATACAAATCTCTTAGTTTAAGAACATGCTACATATTCATTTTTAAAGAACGGAGATTCTAAAATTGAGCCTTGAGGCGCACCATGACTAACGGTTTGTCCATTCACTAAAAAATTAATGCCATTAAAAATATTTACAGTATTTGGGGAAGTAAATATTGAGATACAGACTCTGTAAACATTAAAAATTTCTAGTTATCCTATTATAGATTCTTATGGAGTTGAACATTTTTTAAACATTGTTTTATATGTAAAGAAAAAAGTCCAGTGTTTTTTTCATAACCTCAGTTGCATATTTTATATGCGAGTAGTTCAAAAAATTATAATATGTATAATGAACTGCATGTTAGATGAAACGAGAAAAATGTATAATTAAAAAGCCTGGATACGTGTTTCGTTAACAAAGTTATTCATCATTGGAACTAGGATAGATCACGCTTTTCCCTTAAATTTTAGCAAGTAATGGTGGATTTATGCTTCCATATTTAAGATTAATTTAAGAATAAATGGATTTGACATATTACTAAATTTTCGAATTTATAGGTACTTCTAAATTAACCAAAAAGTACTTAATTTAAATACACCGATGTAAATCTCGTATTCTACACAAACATTTGTTAAGTTAGTGACGATTTGTGATAATCTATAAACTAAATATTCTCTAACAGTTTTGACTAATACATCATCTTCCATATTAATTCTTATTACTTCAGTACTTAATTTTCAAGTGTGATTAATATCAGTAATGACAATTTATCAATTTTATTTGTTATTTAACGTAAAAAGTTAAAAGTTGGGAACTCATAAATTCTCTCGTAACACTCGCTGAAATAATGTGTCCGGTTTACACTCAAACTCGTAGAATAAATAACTATTCTTAAATTAAATGTTAAATGATAAATTTTAAATATGGAAGCGTAAATCCACCATAAATCTCAAACTTCGACAAACAGTTATGCTTCTGAAAAATATTTAAAGCATTCAAACCGATTCAAACAAAAATCTTAACAATAGTTAATTATGTGCATAAATTTAACAATAATTGTATAAATAACTAATAAAATACAGGGTGCGCAGAGCTCGCGCCACAGAGAAAAATTTCAGGTAAGATAGATACAGCTTTCTTGTTTCCTCTTCTAATAGCCTGTAGCAAAAAAAACTTGAAAAATTATTTTTCCAACAGAAATAAAGTGCAAAATTTAAACTCTCATAACTTCGAACTTTTTATAGATAGAATTTTTTCAAACATTTTTTCCATGTTCCTGGTATCGTACCTTACATGGCATTTTTCTCTGGGGCGCGAGTTCTGGCGCACCCTGTACCTATACAAATTTGGTGATAACAAATTTAGCCCCTAAATCGTATTTTGTAAGATTCAAATTAAATTGAAGATTACTATATGTATACAAAAAAAAAAACTGAATTTAAAACGGTGCTTTAAATTAGGCAAATTAAAATACCGATTTTAATTTGCCATACCTTTAGAGAACCCTGAGGCGCATTACTCGCAAAGAGCGAATCCTAATCCTAATATTCACAATAGTTCATTGACATTAATTTTTCCTTTTAGTGCTTAATAATTTATTCCTCCCATAAACAGTAAATATTGATGGATTATAAATTTTGTGATTGAATAATTTTTGGAAATTTTCACTCGTAAATTGAAAATTTAATCAAAAATTGTGAAAATTTATTATGTGACAAATGCATCCGGAAATGTATGTACTTCGTTGGCCTTTAAACCATTACTTATCTGAAAAAATCGTTGGCAATAGTTTCCTCCAGCAGATGTTGGTTTGATGGCATGCGACTTTATGTCAAAATTTGAACATAGTACACCTAGCGGTTTATTAAACTAAAAGTAAACATGTTTTCGACAAATTAGAAGGAAGTCGTTTATTTTCGTTTTTATGTGTGTCTTCTCCATTTATTTATAAAATAAAATCATTAAGAAAATTGCATCCTCTCTGCCAAATATTACCTAGGTGACAAGTTACATAGTTATCTTGTTGACCATCAATACTTAGATAATTGAAACATTTTCGAGGTGACTTGTGCCATCCAATAAAAATGGTACCAAAACCTAAATGGCGTCTTTACAAACCTTCTTTTACGACTTAGAAATTCGAAAAAAAGATCAAATATTTGGCGCCCTTGAAAACATCTTTAATTAGAAAATTAATTAGGAATTTTCGGACAGTCAACTTGTTGCAGTGTGCGTCCACTAGGAGTGGGATGAGCGACGACTATTCTCGTCCGCTTTTATCCTTCAGGACGCCAGTCGTACTCATCCAGGCGTCGCGCATCCCGAAAACGGGATTGCCATTCATGTACCGCGAAAAATTAGCCCAAAAATTAATTTTCACGATAACATAAAAATCGTGCCTTGAAATAAAGCCAAATCGTGACTAAGTGGCCTAAAAACCTTCAATGAGTTTAAAAATATTGTTTGCGAAATTGTACAACTCGCTCCTGGTCATGCTTTTTGAATTTTGAAAAGTGCAAAAGTCAAAATGTGTAACTGCTGTTGCGCCAGTGTGCCCCCAGTCTCCATCCCCATCAATCTCAACAACCAATCAGACACCTATAATTATAAAGTAAGTCGGGTTTCCACACTCGCTTGCAAAAAATGTAATTCTTAAATTCTGGCCATTTTTCCGAATTGTATTTTTTTTCCAGGGCCCGGAGCTGATCCGGGTGTCCCGCTTCTATAAAGAAGCCAAGGAGGGCAAATTCGTCAGTTATATGTTTCCGGATGCTAAGACTCTCTACGACACTTTCCGGAGAGGAGCGAAAGAATCAAGTGAGTCGAAAACTGAAACCTCTGTGATAAATTGGATAACATTCTTGGCAAGAGGTTTTAATGTTTTTTTTTCTGTTAGATAATGGTCCTTGTTTGGGATGGCGGGAGTCGTACGTGAAGCCGTACCAATGGCTGAACTACAATGAAGCTCTTCTCAGGGCTAGAAATTTCGGAGCTGGGATGGTGGCTCAGGGGTTGTCTCCGGGCACTAGTACCATCATCGGAATTTATTCGCAGAATTGTCCCGAATGGATTATTACGGAACAAGCTGCATATTGTTACAGTATGGTGTTGGTGCCCCTGTATGACACTCTCGGTCCTGATGCATGTGCCTTTATTATTAAACAAGGTAAAGTCAATGTTTGCATGCAACAAACTGCAAGTTCTAATGACTTAAAGAGATATTTGAGTCATGTTTGGTTCGAAAATTAGCACCACGTGTTCTATTAATTAGAAACTGCGTTCAAATGAAAATGCTTCTGTTTTAAACTTTTATTAGTTAAGCACACATTTTTATCTTTTGACACGTTACAGCTTTTATTGTAGCTTTCACTTTGTTATCCAACCATTTTTCTTGACAAGGTATTTTATTATCTCTTCCTCCTTTCTACCACATTATCTACATATTTTCTTCACTTCCTTCAAACAAATAAGTCTATAGACTTATTGAGCGTGTCATTTTTTCTGTAATTGATTAGCTAACTTAATTTATTTATACTAAATTACAAATTCCAATCCTGACACAAAGTCTAAGCAAAGTATCAAACCTTATACTTATTGTGTAACTTCTTGATTCTACAGCTAATAAAAAGTGAGATATTTTCGTTTATTAGGTTTACCTATACAGGGTGATTCTAGTAAAATTTTTTTATCTTGCATGTAAAACTTTTTTCTTTTCAAAAATAATCCGATAAAATTGCAAAAAATCGAGCAAAAAATTAACACTTCATGGAAATTGTTTAGTTATTTCCACAATTTTCAATGCACGTTTCAGCTTGCCGAATTCATTGCTCTCCACAAGCACGACCTAAACCTAAGTATTTAACTCTGAATAGTTAGTTCCTTTAAAGTTTTCGATTTTTTTTTGTCTTTTTTTGAAAAGTACTATTTTAATTTTTTTGCAAACAATCGGATTATCTCTGTAAAGAAAAAAAGGTTAATTTAACTTATTTTTTATTTTACTCAATATTGGTCACAACTTTTTTTTTCATTGTCACTATCGAATGTCAAATTAAGAAAATCGGTGTCTCCCAGTATAGCCAGTTTGGTCAAAATAATTATAATAATCTTGGTATTATTTAAAATTCAGAAGTTGAATAGTGTATTTAATGATACTGATGATCTTGCATATATAATTTTATAATTGTTTAGTAAAAGTACTAAAATTTTGCCGATAAAAGCCACAAATGACGTTAAACAGTTACAATTTGGGATACAGCTTTCTAGTTTCCTCTTTTAATAACGTCTAGCAAAAAAAAAAGGAAAAATTGCTTTTCCAACAGAAATAAATAGTCAAAGTGCAAAAAAAAACTCTCATAACTTCGAAATTTTTATAGATAGAACTTTTTTAACATTTTTTCCATGTTCCTTATTTAAGTATTAGACGGAAATTTTATCGAACTTTAATTTGTGCAATTTTTTTATGTATCCTATTTTTAAGTTCAATTAAATTTTAATTTCAAAGTATGGCACGCGTGAAGTCCTAAACATCTCGAGTTTATAGTGTTACAAGGTTAAGTGTCTTTGTAGAACTATTTAAATCTGTATTTAACGGTCTTTATTTTAAATCCGGATATGATTCGTTATTTCGCTATGTACCTGATCCTAATTTTTAAAATTAAAACATGATTTTATTCTCCTTAAAATTCCATTTGTTTAATGTATTTTTATTAATGGCTTTTTTGAAAGTGTATACATTTCAAGTAATTTCCCCACATTTCAAATAAACCGTTTTATTTTTCACCAATAAAATTAATGGTATTTACAAATTTCACACAATTCATCGCTTACATAAATCTGAATCTATTCCACTGGAATTTAAAATAAACCACCTTCAAATAGGGTTTATAAATAACGAGATTTTATTTACTGCACATTTAATCCAGTAAAAATCATTCCACTCGAAGTCAATCAATCTTCTAATATTGGCCATATGTGTTATTTCACATTTCTTATCAAAACATTCGCACTTTATTTCCAGCTGAAATAACCGTCGTTGTTTGCGAAGACGACCAAAAATGCAACCTTCTCCTTGACCGTTCTCCGCGATGTCTCCGCAAACTCATCGTTTACAAAGATGTCAGACCCGCGACGAAACAAAGAGCGAAGAACCGTGGAGTAGAAATAATCAAATTCCACGATGTTGAAGTTTTAGGTTCGAAATCGAACCATCCGGAAGTTGTAAGTTGGAATAACTACGTTTCACCACAAACTAAGTGGTTTGTTCTAGCCTCCTAAACCCTCAGATCTCTGCACAATTTGTTACACGAGTGGCACCACCGGCAATCCTAAAGGAGTTATGCTAACTCATGAAAATGTTGTAGCCTCTATGAGTGCTGTTTTGATGCAAATGGGTGATCATAAAGTGAAGAGTAGCGATGTCCTTATCTCGTTTTTGCCTTTAGCACATATGTTGGAGCGCTGTTGCGAGGTTCAAACTCCTATTTCGTCCATTACTAGTTCACAAATCCAATTTTTTAGAACGCCATGTATATGATGGGTGCCTCAGTAGGGTTCTTTCTTGGGGACATAAGGCGATTATCGGACGACATGAAAGCCTTGAAGCCTACCGTGTCTCCAGCAGTTCCTCGACTCCTTAACAGGATTTACGATAAAGTCCAAGCCGAGATCAACGGTAGTTGCATTAAAAAAATGTTATTCAATATGGGGATGAGTGCCAAAGAGAGTGAAATCAAAAGGGGGATCCTCAGGAATAACAGCTTTTGGGATATGTTGGTGTTTAGGAAAGTCCAAGAAGGAATGGGGGGCCGACTTAGACTGATGTTAGTCGGGTCGGCGCCCCTTGCTGAAAACGTTCTTACTTTTATGCGATGTGCTTTAGGGTGTTTGGTGAGTTTTTTTTTCTGTTTTTGCAGTTGAATAATTTTTTTTTTTCAGGTGATTGAAGGTTACGGCCAAACTGAATGTACCGCACCTATCACTTTGACCATTCAAGGGGATCACGTGCCGGGTCATGTTGGTCCCCCTGTTGCTTGTTGCTGTGTTAAATTAATCGACGTGCCTGAAATGGAATATTGGGCGAAGAACAGTCAAGGGGAAGTTTGTGTTAAAGGTACCAACGTTTTTCAAGGTTACTATAAAGATCCTGAAAAGACTGAAGAGACAATAGATGAGTTGGGATGGCACCACACTGGAGATGTCGGGATGTGGATGCCGGTGAGTTCCGGTCTTTCCCGATTTTTTCTAATTTTTGGTTCCAGAATGGTACTCTCAAAATCATCGATCGGCGAAAACACATTTTCAAATTGTCTCAGGGCGAGTATATTGTTCCTGAAAAAATCGAAAACATCTATATTCGATCACAATACGTTAGCCAAGTCTATGTCCATGGCGAGTCCTTGAAGGTATAATTCATCCAAAAATCACACTCTTGTTAAAAAACATATTCCAGTCTTGTATTATCGCAATTGTGGTTCCTGACGTCGACGTAATCAAATGCTGGGCGACTGAAAATGGTATTCCTGGTACTTTTAGTGTCCTTTGTAACAATCCTGACGTCAAACAACTGATTATGGATGACATGATTGCTTGGGGTAAAGAAGCGGGTCTTAAATCATTCGAACAAGTGAGTATCGCTTGAAAATCACTTGAATCCAACTCATTTTATTTTCTAGGTCAAAGACATATATTTACATCCCGATCCGTTTAGTGTCCAAAACGGTTTATTGACACCAACACTAAAATCGAAACGTCCGCAATTGAAAGAATATTTCAAACCGCAGATTGAAGATATGTACAGCAAATTGGTTTAAAACGAAACAAGTATTAGGAATTTTCTTAGATCTAGGATGCACCAAAGCAAAAATTTCTTAAAGACTTGTTTATAGCAATATCTATCGAGTCAATCGAGAACGCAATAAATACCTTGGAAGGTTGCCAAAATAATTATTTTGATATTTCGTTCAATTTCATCTACAAATATGCATTATCTTGCCTTTTAGATATAGGTTTAACACCGTCAATCTGACTCTTAGGTTAGAATATTGTTTATCTGACAACAATTTTATTTATTGTTCGTTGTTATATCCTAAACAATCCTTTAATAAAGTTATTTAAAAGATCAAATTGTGTTTGATATTAAAAGTATAACAGAAAAAGGTCAAAAATCATAAACGACTTTATAGAAATTATACATTTATTAATGTCCTTTACTTCTTAGCTTTTACAGCTTGTTGCGCTTTCAACACTTTAACAACAATCTTCTGTTCTTCAATGAGAAAAGCTCTGACGATCTTTTCTTTGACGCACTTGTGGCACAAAACGCCGCCGTATGCCCTTTTTACTGTCTTCTTGCGTCTGCATAAACGGGATCGTTCCTGGGAACGCGCAGGAAGGATACCCCTGAGCTTATCTTTGCATTGTCCGCATCTTGGAATCTTCTTGGGCTTCTTTAGGTATTGGTATACCAGTCTACCACCAGGAGTGCGGACACTGAAGTAAAAAAAAAAGATAAGTGATGTAATTTACAAAAAAGTTGTTTTTGTTAAATTTAAAACGTCAGAGACTGAACGAAAAAGTTTGTCGTCACTGTGTTTCAGGACTCTAGCCAAAAATCATCATGATATAACTTTTTCTTATACTTGCTTTTTTTTAAAAATAATAAATAAGTATAAATGCCCTATTTTTTAAAATTCTTTTTACTATTAAAACAAATATGAATGTCCAACTGTCCTTCAATTATTTTTGCACCCGTAAATATCATTTAATTAAAATTAATTTCGATGATAGATCATAGAAAAATTTAAAAATAGACGGTTTTTGGCAGACATGAAAATTTATTATGACAAAAACATACCGCTAATTTTTATTAAAGACTTTATTTTGAAACTTTCAAAATGTACAAATAACCTATACTTGCATTATTATAAAAAATAACAAAAAACATTCTAGATTCATAAATAACAAACAATGAAGTTTTCAAACTGGGATTAAGAGATTTCTTGGACTTTTCTATTGCTACACTGACAATGTCGCAACTGTGTAAAAAAATCTGTTAACAACTAGGCCTTAGTGACAAATTTGTAGCCAAAAAACTCTCAATCAGAGGTTGAAGACATGTTTTTTATACTATTTTTTTGTATTGAGCGTTTTTTAATTGAATTTTTTATTATATTTGACTGTTAAAATTTATGACATTTGAGGTACATACCTCAACACCACATACCACATGGTACCCAAAAGCATGGAAAAAGATCAAACATTTACAAACGACAGTATACAACTAGTGATAGCAAAAATATTGTGTATAACAGTGTTATACTGTTCGATTTTCGTAGCAACCAATGAAATACGTCTCCAAGGCAGTCAGATTTTATAAATTTTTAATTTTTATATCCTGACAATTTTATAGAGACTGTAAAATGTTTTAAAAGATTTCAGCATTAATTGTGAGATTTGGATTAAACTTTATTTTCGGTATGTTTTTAAATTGATTGTTTTACAAAGTAAATCAGACTTTAACTGTAATTGGTTATTTTATGCTGGTGGAGCAGATCAAATGTTATAACGCCGTTATTATACAAAGTTGCATAGTGTTTGCAACTGTTTTCAATTACACGAAATGCTCAATGTGAGAAATGTATTTTTGTCACAATTACGGACTTCGCATAATAAAGCAGATATTACTATCATGTAGAGCAAAAAATTAGCTTTTAGAGGGTGTAAGAAAGTACCTATAACCGACGTAAACATGCAGTAGGTTTTCTTGAAGCAACGACGATGTGTATAATATCATTAAAAATCACCACCGCCGTCATATGTTAAACAGAATTAATAGAAAAATAAAATAACAGGTTTTTTTAAAGAAAAATAAGTTTGTGTACTTTACAAAATTACAAGAAGCTAAAGGCTAAAATTTCATGTTGACAAGACACAACCTCAAAAATTGTATGAATTTTTTCGGAACTAAAAACTCTAATTTCCACATTATCACCTCATATTATAATATTTTAACAATCTGTTAATTATTATACTTACATGTGTCGTCGATTTGATTTCGTATTGTACGACAATCGTCGTCTAAATACCAAACGCTGCACCATGTCGGCCTGCAACTAAACACCCAATTTTAGCAAAATCTATCACTGAAAAACATAAATACGGACTAAAACAAATCACAATTAACTAATTTAATTACAAAATAACAAATATTAGTGCGGATGATCGCAGATTTTTAATTTCTAAAGACACTTCAACCAACCTGTCAAATGTCACCAGCGAGGAAGAGACTTTGCGCAGTCGTGCCAACCTAAAAAAAAAAACACTAGTCAGCCGTCGCCATCTACGAAAAAAATGTCGAAAACAAATTTCTCTTGATACAAACTGCGAAATCTGAAATGGTTTCACTTTTTGAGAATTATGAACAGCAATATTCAGTGCTCACAGCCGATATCACGGCTCAAATCGGCCTTTTGGGTGCCTCGGCCACAAGTAAGCCTCCCTCAATTCCCCTGTCAAAAGTAGGTATTCGTTTGTTTTTTTTAGAGGACCGCCGCCAACTTATTTCTAATATCGAGAAACATGTCGAGGAGGCGCAAGAACTGGCAAGTGCTCAAATGTTGCTCTTTGCTTGATTGTAATTTATTTATATTTAGTTGGAACAAATGGAATTAGAGGTTAGGGAAGTCGAATCGGCCAAAAGACAAAGGTGCAGGACCAAGCTAGATTGCTATCGTGCTGAACTCAAGCGGCTGACTTTGGAATATATCAAAGCGCGGTCGATAAAACAGGGCGCGTTGAGTTATGATAGCGCGGAAGAATTGAACGATTTCAGGATTTCGTCGGATCAGAAACAGAGGCTTTTGGACAATTCGGAGAGGATGGAGCGGACAGGGAGGCAGCTGGAGGAAGGTTATAGAGTGGTGTTGGAAACGCAGGACATAGGAACACAGGTTTTACAGAATTTGAACGAGCAGCGGGAGACTATCAAGAGGACGCGGACAAGGGTAGATTTTTTTATATAGGTATTTAAGTTCTGTCCAATAGGATTTTTTTTTGTTTTAGTTAAGAGGAACTGACGAAGAGCTGGGACGGTCCTCCCGCCTTATGGGTTCAATGATAATGAGGTCCATTCAGCAGAAAATAATATTGTTCATTGTTGGTGCCTGTTTTATAATAGCTTTGTGTCTGGGTCTTTACCTAGGCTTGAACAAGTAATTTTTGTGTTACACTTTTTATGAACTGTACATAAGTATCAAAGTATTCTATTGTGTCATACTTCTTATATTTTGTTATTTAGTTTATTACATTCCTGTTATTTGTGATGTTGTTCTTCGCACTGAGTTTAGCGGTTAGCGAGATACCTAATAATACTTAACTTATTTTATTAATATAAAAGTACAAATTCTATTACATGAATTATTTTTTAATCATTGTCATGGAGCATGCAAACCCTGTCTATACATTATTTTGTTAAAAACTACTTTTGCAATTACAAAGAAAAGTAAATAATTTTGTGAAAATGTTTTTTTTCCATACGTAGGAAGTTTGAGGGCAGACATAAACAACAACAAATGTGATCAAGATAAATTTTATCTTGATTGTTTTTATCATTAGCTTGATTTTACGTAATTTATTGTTTTAATGTTCTTTGATTATTGAATATTTACAAATAATGGTTATTTACTAAACAACCCGAATTGTAATATTTTGTGACTACTGATGAAGTTTAAAATTTAGCGCCGCTAGTAGCGTCTCTTCGTCCGCTAGATGTCGCGGCATTTCGTGCAAAACATCAAGTCGCCATCAAGTAATCCTGTGTAGTGGATTGTGTCTTATTTGTGTAAGGATTTGTGTCTTTTTGAATGCATTTGTGGGGGTAAAATGGCCGGTTCTTACGAATCGGGGGTGCATTTCGTCAGTTTACTAAATAACGCATCGGCTGCGAGCTTCGTGCAGACATGTAAGTAGTCCATTATTGGTTATGTCTCTGGCCTTCTGGTATGCGTCATTGCGATCTTAAATTCCATCTGAGCAGCCAATGTTTAAAATATCTCATTCATAATTCCACAGTGAATCCTTTATCCGCGTATCAATTGTTGTGGCGCGATTCGGGCCGTTGCAACGTTATCTGCGTTATCGATTCGCCAAGGGCAGAATTCCGTCCGGAGTGTACATTTGTGACGGTGAAATCTAGAGCGTATGCTCCGGACAGATTCCGGATGCCGGAGGACGGAAATCGAGAGGCTCAAGGTCGCGCTCTTAGAATCAAACGGAAATCATAATTTAGAGGTGGCTGGGGCAATGTATGCCATTTTTGACAAGATATTGACGTGTGACAACTGCGATGTAGAATGTGTTTGACAAGGCAGTGGCGTATCAAGAGATGGTCAAAATGAGTTTGATGAATGTAGGTGATTTCGGTGAATTGGAAGTGGAAAGCATTAACATTGCTTCCGGACTTGACATAAATTTCGTTTGCGTGTATTAAAATGAATTTTACACAAACTGTGTGGTTCCCTGTTGTCCTAAAGGAAAAAAACGAAAGCTGGCTTTATCAATCACTACGTTTAGTTTCTTAAAACCTCCAAATAGTAAATAATAAAATCGTAAAAAAGTGTCTTAAAAAGTAAAGTATTTCAAGTGCAAATGGATTCAACGTGAAGCTTTAAAAACGATAAAATGCAATGACGACATTGTTTTTAACTGTCACTTTGACGTAATTTATCTCAGAGGCACAATTACACTCACTTAAAGTCACGGATTTACACTAGGAAGTAAAATATATGTACAGAGTGTTTTACACAACTTTACGAGGCTTGTGCCTAATGTACGCACCCAAATGTACAAAAGTCACAAAACACTAGAAACCCATGACAGTAGTTTTCAAACTAATCACTGTTTCATTAATAGTCATTTAGTCAAAAACTGCAGTTTTTCAGAAACAATAATTATTATTTGTTTTGTTAAGAGACGGCATGAATATGATTTTAGTTTATGTATCTTAATCACTAGCTAACTAAAAACGTAATTTTTGAAAGGGTGAACATCATCCAATTTTTCAAAATTTGTAATCGAGTTTGTATGGGAATATGTATTATTGATTGCATCTTACAGGCGCAGGCCTCTTAAAATTAGGTAAAACACCCTGTATATGTACAGGCTGGCTCAAAATTAAGGCATTTCGAGTTCAGAGGATTGAAAAACATTTAAAAAAAAGTCGTCGTCTTTTTATAAAGATATCGAGGTCTTTAGATGCAGACTTTCCTTCAAGTACCTAATCTTCAATAAAGCCCATGAATGTTGTGATTTATTTTTATGTAACATAACAATGCAAAAAAATCTTGAAAAAATAGCTTTAACGCTAAATAAAAAAATCTCAATTTAATTTTCGCAAATTTTGCCAAAAAAGGAACTGTAACGAGGCTAGAATTTTATTTTGTTGCTGTGGAGTTTGGAACCGCATGATTACTTGGAAGAATACAACTACCAATAAATTTTACGTGGATACAGGGTAGGTATACAGTTTGGGCAATGTTGCCGCATTGAACAAAGTTAAAAGGCGAATACCTTGTAAGGAGTAATTAAAAAAACTGCTTTGTATATTTTTACTTAGCCCAAGGGGTACCTCCTTTAACGCTTTAAACTCAGAATACCTTTATTTTGAGACACCTTGTATACAGTGTGTTCCCGGATAGGGGAAACTTCTCTTGTAACATATAAAAACTTCTCGATTTTTATTTTTTGGGGACACATTGTACACAGTGGTGTCCTAGAACTCGCGGATAGAGGAAAATGTTAAGATACAGTGATGGACAGTGAATTTCGTCCACCCAATTTCCCTGATAGATTAAAAGTGTAAATTAGTCTTTAGGTTTTCCTAACCTTGTTTCAGAATTTTGATTAACGTTTGTCATGTTGACAGAATGCTCGATGCTTCTTGCTACTTTTTACATTTGTCCATTGAATTGGTAGTGCTTGGTATGTCCAAAAGTATAGAGACACGTCTTTGAGACATACCTTCTTGTACCTGAATATTTATTTTATTATGTTCGAATTTCATTAAATTTGAGAATATGTATTTGAATGACAGTTATCACGACAATAAAGCACAGACTACAGTGAATTTTTGTGAATTCACAGAAATTGGGTGGACGAAATTCACTGTCCATCACTGTACTAGAAACAGAAAAAAATGTCTAAAAAAACTATATCTGTCAAAAGATTTTGACATTTAGTTTTGAAGAATTTCTTCGTCTTCGGATGAGAAATCAACTTCCAGTCGTGTCAATAATGTTAATATTTTTCATTTTGGTAAAACACTCAAGCCGAAAATATGTACGTGGAACACATCAACCAAAACAAACCGAAATACAACTAGCGCATATGCAATTTAAGCCCATAGACTCAGTGTAGCCATCCAAAATTGAGAATTTTGGTTAAATTAACCCAATTTCCACTAAACCAATTCCTAGCACTGAAGTACGCACTCAGGGTTAAAATTTAACCACGGTTATTTACCCTGTACTGAAATACCGGGCGTTAGTTGAATACTTGTCGCCGTTCAATAAGAGGTTTGGGGTGCTGAGAATTTTTTAAATTATTTTCTATTTTGAATCGAATTTGTAGCAGATTATGTATTGCTGATTGCATTTTATAGAAGTGGGCCTTGTACAATTGTGTGAAACACCTTATATTTAAAAAGTTGTCAGTATTATACTACGCATACAAAGTATATGTAGTGAGCTGAATTGTTATCTTTTTAAATTTTTTACCGTGAAAAACTGAAATAATGACCTTCAATAACTTCGGAAATGATAAAATAAAACTTGCATTTTGCTTTGTGAAAAATATAAATACAAAAAAATACAGAGAATTTTAAAGACTACACCAAAATTTTGTACTATTTATTAATTGGTATTGTTTCTTCTGTTTGTTTTCTTCCTTTGCATAATTATTATTTACAATTTCTTCATTACTCAAGTACGAAAGTTGTCGGTAATAAAAAATAATTGCTAGAATTATGTGTGCTGAGCGTATAATTTCGGTCCTGTATGGTTCTTTCTGCAATAATAATATAAGCAAATAATGTCCGATCTTTGTATCTTGTAACCACATTGTCTAACATTCATGCGCATACGTACTCTATTATTTCTATTATTATCTCTTTGTGTATGACATAACTAATTAATTGGAAACAGCAATTTCACAAAGAATTCTGTCCGTATCATGTGTGTTATATTTAACGCATGACTGTAGCGTTTGGATAAAGGTTATTTTAATCATAAACAAATAAATTATTTAATCTTTCAATGGGATATGCAAATTAATTGAGAGATATCTCAATGGCATAATAAATTTTGTATTTATTTATTGTATACGCGCCGTGCCAGGTCATAAACCACCATTTCAATACGATCAAAATATACGCTATGTAACAAACGATACCTAACCTTGATAAATGCATCACATCATTAAATCATGATTATGAAAAGAAATATAAAAGTTTAACGTCTGACATTCCAGTCGAGCGACATCTATTATCTAATTTATCGATAAAAAGCGCTTATAACCATCTCCACCTGCAATAACAATCTGACAAAAGATTTCGTCGAACATAAGCCGCTTATATGACTTGGCTTGGAATCTTCTTTTTCTCATTTTGGTGCCATTGTGATGGTCCAGACCGACGATAAAAAAACAACCACCACGAAATCGTGTCTGGAGCCTTAAAGCGTCAGAAACATAATTAATCTAACACCTTTACCTTGCGGTCTTTTATGTAATCAGGTATCTGGGGAGGTGTTCTTATACTGTAGCACCACACGTACCAATATACCGTGGTTTATATTGAGCTATAGCTCAATAGATATGTTGGTGGAGAGTATACACCAATATTACGAACCAAGTTCAAAATTTATTACCGGTAACCTGTTTCGGGTTTGCGTTTTATTTTGTTGCGGCTCGAAGAGTATTTTTGGTGGAGACGAGCTTGGTTAATCGTAAATCATGGTACTATAGGTTGAGATGATTGCTTTTGTAAGCTTAAAAATACGCTTATAGTGTTGTAATGGTGGGTTTGTAGAAAAAATAATGGTGTCTGAAATAGATTATTATTTTGAAAACATAAAAATAAAATTTTGGAGGCTTAAAGCTGTAAGAATGGTTTTGGAGGAAACAAGGGAAGAAAGTTAAAAGTTCTGTACCTTTAGTACAACTGAAATTAAAATATAAAATAAATTTCAATTGGACCGTTCTGAACTTAAAGCTCCTTCACCTTTGCCGTCCTGTTGATTGCTTCGAGTTTTGACCTGTTTTCGCTTGATTATTTTGAGTTTTCAAAGCTCACGCTCTATTGGCGGGCGTAAAGATCAAAAGCGCCTATTCCTGTTCTTTGATCATCTCGTAGT